CTCCAGAGGAACAGAGGTAAGTTAGCAAATAGTACAAAGAGACAAAAGATAAATAAGATTCTCCAATTTAAAAATATTAATCAAGAGGCAGAATTATAAGCTTTGAGAAAAGCAAAAAAGCAAATCAGAACTATAAATCTAAAAGAGTTAAGAAAGTTGTCCTGTCTTTCTTCTCCAAGAGCACACAGACTATTAAAAACAATAGAACCCTGGCCAGATGGCTCAGTTGGTTAGAGCATCATCCCATATGCTTTGAGGCTTTGGATTTGACTCCTGCTAAGGGTACATACCTAGGTTGCAGGTTCAAACCCTGGTAGGGGCTTGCACAGGAGGCAACTGACTGATGTTTCTCTTCCCCCTCCCCACCTTTCTCTCTCTAAAATCAATGAACATATCCTTGGGAGAGGATGAAAAAAAAAAAGCAGTAAGAATTCCAATGTTTATATATAAAAACTAGAGGCCCGATGCATGAAATTCATGCAAGAGTAGGCCTTCCTTCCCCCACAGCTGCTGACACCAGCTTCCCTCTGGCACCTGGGACCCGGGCTTCCCTCCGGACACTGGCAGGCAATCAGGACACGGGCTTCCCTCGCAGCCCTGCTTCGTCCGGAAGGATGTCCGGTCTAATTAGCATATTATGCTTTTATTATTATAGACGATGAATGAATTATATGCACTTAAGTATCCTTAATTACATGGTCTTATACTATGAAAAAACAATAATGCTGTCACATTTAACCATGAAATTCTAGAAACAAAACAAAGCAGTCTCAATAAGGAACCTTTTCACATCAGGGACACTTTCTGTACATATTTGCATGATATGAAACACCTTACCTACTTCTGCCCTAATAACTCTCCCCTCTCTATATCACAGTGCTTGAAATACCACCATTGGGAGACAGAGTCCTTCAGATTTAATACAGCCTTTGTAAGTTAGTACTTTCAGCTCACCCCACCCCACCCAAATGCAAGATCCTAGGAAAAATTGAAGCTATTTACAATAGCAATATGGGTTTGTTTCTTTTCTTTTCTTTTTTTGGGGTCAAGGGATAGGAAAAGGGGAAAAGAGAATATGGATCCTAAGAAAAATTATTTTACAACTTTGGATACAACCAATTGCTTTGTTAAGAAAACATTATAGGTTAAATCCTCTGTATATATGATTTAGGCATTTATTTAAAATTAATGCTTAATTTCAACAAAAGTCAACTAAAGTCTTAAGATTTCTAAACAAGACAAATGATATTTTTGTCAAGGCTATATTTTCTGAAAAGTAAAAGGCAATTTATGTAAGAATGAATTCATTTTAAAATTTAAGTGATTCTATCAATTTTTATAATATCTGAATAGTCTATCCAAATTTGTTAAATACTATACATACCTCATATTCTTTTCTGCAAACTTTGGAAATATCATTTTTTGAAGATGCCTAAATGAGACAACAAATTTCTCCATTAATTTTATTATACATTGCTATTCAGCACAGAATAAAAAAGAACAGGAAAACCTTATGCTCAAATATTTTAAAATTCCTTATGTACAACAAACACATTTCATGCAATTTCTCTTAAACAAACATCAGCCCCAGAACCTATTGGATATGCTAGAACTCACTCTAACCTTTTATGGCTTTAATCTCACATAATGACATAGTCTTTTTGTTATTTCAGAAACTAGATAACTCTGAAGGAAATGTAAATCAGAAGACTTTTTTATTTGTTTAGCTGAATTCCACTCTGCAGCAAATTTTCTTGTGAAGCTCTGCCAGGATATTTATATTTTGCTTCTTCTTTAACCCTTCATATTATAAGTTCTCATACTAACTTTTTCTCAGAAAAGATCCATATATAACAAAAAGGGCAACTAAAGAGGGAAAGGCTATCCCTAGAAATTAACAAGTTATTTTTATGTAATTCTCTTAACAAGTTAATAGAGATATTTTCTCTTCTACAGATGAAGAAACTGGTGTTCAGAGAAATATTAAGTTTTTACATAGAAAGTATGTATTTCTATATAAAACAAGCCATAACAAATCTGCTGAGGGGTGGTTATTCTTCCACATGATATCAGTCCCTATTTAGAGATGTTTTAGAGCCATGGCCTCTAGTCCCTTGTTCTATTTCCTCTATTCTATCACCTAAGCTCATGTAATTTTGAATAGGCCAGCTGAAGAGGATGGGGACTAGATCCATTATAGTTCCAATCTTCTGCAACTCAGCTTCATCCCAATGCCTGGAGGAGAGCAGCAGATAGCTATGCTGTATACTGCCCAAAGGATGTTGCAGTGGTATATATAAAAGAGAAGGTGACACTATGTCTCACATACCCCTGTCCAGAGGACAGTAATTAGAAGAAGAAAATCAAAGAGGCTTTTCCAGCTGTGGTTTCAGGTTCACCTAAACTTCCCAATTAAGTCTACTCCCACCACTTGGAGTATGAGGAACCAGACTAGTTTTCTGACAACTCTCTGAGGAGCCACATGAAAATGAACGTAATGAGGAGTAACTCTGGGGCCTAACCTGAACTGGACTAGAGATATATCAAATAAAACAGAAGTCATAATTCACTGTAGGAGTCATGCTCACCTTAGGAGCCGAGAAGGGATATAAGAACATACTCAGGGAAAACCCAGGATGAAAGACAGAAGGGAAAATGAAAGCAAAATAAGCCAACTGTATCAACTGCTCTTACTTAGGCATAGCCCAAATTCACATGACCATTTGGAGTCATTCAGCACTGACTAAGCATGACCACAGGCAAAGTACAAAAGGCCTCAATTCCTACAATATTCATTATTTTTCTTTAATAATTTTTATTTTTTAATTACAGTTGACATGCAATAGTATATTAGTTTCAAGTATATAACACAGTGATTAGACATTTATATAACTTGTGAATATTCTTTCTTTGTGTGGCAGAGAGGTTGAGAAAGAATAAGAGAGGGCTCGGGGTCTTATATGCAGCAGCAAAACTGAAAAAGCAGCAAGTCTAAAAGGAAGTGGTCTCTGCAAGAAATAATAAATTTTCAGCTTTATAGGTCACCTCTCCAAAGGTATGAGGTGGCCAAGGTTCAAGGCATATGCACAACTAAAACCCAAAGTGCACTTCATGCTTTTCAAGAGCCTGATTGTTCAGTATTACCTGCTTGCAAGCCTGTCGACACTCCAAGGTAATAGCCAGTTCACAGCAGCCTAAGCCAACCCAGCCATCAGATTTCTTAAACACACCTTAAAAACAAAATATTCAAATGTTTTGGTCATAAACAGTGACAAATACAAATAGCATGTCAAATTGGTTTGTGGATACCACTAAGAATCAAAGTGTTTACAGAAAAACTAGCTCAGACAAAAGGGCCTCAAAATTAGTAAGCCTCTCCCCTCAGCCTTATTCCCATGCTATCAGTCTCCTGAGGTACCTCACAGCGTAATTATCAGGTCCTTTGTTTTTTTCTCTCATCTCCCTGCCCACCCTAAACCCTCTAGGTCAGTGGTTCTCAACCTTCCTAATGCCGTGACTCTTTAATACAGTTCCTCATGTTGTGGTGACCCCCAATTTCATTGTTACAAATTGAACATAATTAAGGCATAGTGATTAATCACAAAAACAGTATGTAATTATATATGTGTTTTCCGATGGTCTTAGGCGACCCCTGTGAAAGGGTCGTTTGACCCCCAAATGGGGTCGCGACCCACAGGTTGAGAACCGCTGCTCTAGGTCATTCTCATTCTTGGGTAGGTAGCATCTTTAGAGGACATACAGGTTCAGGAAAGCAAGGAGAGGCCTTCCTCACCTTTAGACTGTGAAGCAGAGGCAAAGATTCCAATTTAACTTAACAAAGAGGTACTGAATTCAAACATATTAAATACCTACAGTAGTGTGAAGCCCATGACACCATTTAAAATCAGTACTTAGTAAACAGACAGGAACATCTCCTATGAGCCAGGACTAATTTTGATGGGCAAAATAACTCTTCTGGTTCAGTTTATGTACAGCAGCTAATTCTCTAACCAAATCACTGATAACAAGATATATCATAATATCACTTTTATAAAATTATAAAAAATAATGGACTGTATTTTTAGAGCCCTTTTTGTAATCAAATGTCAATGAATGACTCATAGAATTAGGAGATATAATAATCATGAAGAGGAAAAAGATTTATGCTTGTAGGGATGCTGCAAACTCCTTATATCTTTTAAAAAATGTTTTATGGCCCTGCTGGTGTTGCTCAGTGGTTGAACATCAGCCCATGAACCAGGACAAGAGGTCACAGTTTGATTCCCAGTCAGGGTATATGCTCGGGTTGCGGGTTGGATCTGGGGGCGTGCAGGAGGCAGGCAATAGATGATTCTCTCTCATCATTGATGTTTCTCTCTCTATATACCTCTCCCTTCCTCTTTCTAAAAATGAATAAAATGGTATTTTAAAAAATGGTTTATGTTGCTTCCATGTAATACATGGGTCTTCAAACCTACATGTACAATAAATTAGATTATTATTTACATCTGAAAAAAATGTCAGGGATTCAAAAGCTATAAGTAGCATAGTTCTCCAAATCAAAGTAGGACTTAACACAACAAACAGAAGCATTCTGCTAAAAAACAAAACAAACAAAAGCAAAAAAGTGGCCCACAGATAAAGCTCTAAAAATATAGGGTGGGGCAAAAAAAGGTTTGTAGTTGTGAGGAAGCAAAATACAGCTTATTGTTGTATTATTTATTGTAGTATTTTTCCATACAAACAACTATAAACCTACTTTTGCCCAACCCTGTATAATATAAACCATCCCAATTGTTACAATTGGCTAAAAATACTGAATATCATAAGCCTCTATATCCCTACATGTTTTAAGAGTAAAAAGGGCAACAGACTCTTTTCTAGCCCCATTGCCTAGTTTCCTTTAAATCTTTGCTATTGAGAATCACTTACATTTTAGATATAATTTTGAATGGAATCACTGTAGGTCATAAATTCTGTGAACTTTTATACCATCATGCCATATATTGCTGTTTCCACATACCCAGTGGCCTCTTAGAAAATATTAAATTATTTGACAAGCATTTATATTTGCTGAGCCTCTACTATGTACAAGACACTCTATTAGATATTCTGTGGACTATGAAATAGATAAAATATCTGATTTATTCCATTATAGAAATCAGTTTGGTAAAAATAATGTGCATGTATATGTATATGCATATGTATCTATAATAATAAAAGGGTAATATGCTAATTAGACCGGGTTGCTGGTTGTCTGGTCCTCCTTCAGGACAAAGCCACAGTGGCGGGGGCTGAGGCAGAGGTGGCTAGGGGCAATCAGGCTGGCAGAGGAGGAGTTAGGGGTGATCAGGCTGGCAGGGGAGGGCAGTTAGGGGCGATCAGGCCAGCAGGGGAGGGCAGTTAGGGGCAATCAGGCTGGCAGGGAAAGGCAGTTAGGAGTGATCAGCAGGCAGGCAGAGGGGTAAGGGGCAATCAGGCAGAGGCAGTTAGAGGCGATCAGGCAGGCAGGCGAGCGGTTAGGAGCCAGCAGCCCTGGATTGTGAGAGGATGTCCAACAGCCCACAGGGACCAGGCCTAAACCGGCAGTCAGACATTCCCTGAGGGGTCCCGCATTGGAGAGGGTGCAGGCCGGGCTGAGGGAACCCTCCCCCACTTGCACGAATTTCATGCACTGGGCCTCTAGTATATAAATAAAATTCCAGGACATTAGAGGGATAATTAGGAAGACAGGTAAGAATGTGGGCAATGCAAGAAAGACAAATGTTTGAAATGCAAATTTCACACTGTATGACAGCCTTTAAAGTTCAGAGATATGTAAGGTTTATTCCCGTTTTTCAAGACACTGGCTTTAACTAAGACTGGAAAGTAAGCTTTACCAGTAATCCTAGGAGACCATGAATGCAAGGCTAGGGAGTTTGGCTTTTATTTCAACAGAAATGGATACCCTTGAGGGATTTTTTTTTTGAAAGGCTGGGGAGGACAGCTGTGATATGTTGAAATACTGGTACCAGTTACAAGTTTATTACAATATTCTATCCCAAGAATGTAATAAGAAAGGCTTGCCCGGCCGATGTGGCTCAATGGTTGAGCTTCAATCTATGAACCAGGAGATCCCTGGTTTAATTCCCTGTCAGGGTATGTGCCCAGTTGTGGACTCGATCCCAGTGTGGAGCCTGCAAGAGGCAAGCCAATCAATGATTCTTTCTCATCATCAATGTTTCTATCTCTCTCTCTCTCCTTCTCCCCATCCTCTCTGAAATGAATAAAGATATATTTTATATATATAAAAAAGGCTTGAACGAGGAGTAGTGAAGACAGATGCAAGATTTTATAAGCAGAGAGTCAAAGGAGTTAGAAAGAAAAAGCAGCCAAAGATAACTTGATCTCCAATAGTATCATTCACAAGAGAGACAATCATAAAATGAGTTTGGTTTTGGATTTGCACTTCAGATACCACTTAGATGCAGTGATCCAGGTAGAGATGTCTAGAAGTCACAAACAATTGACTAGGGCCCTAACCGGTTTGGCTCCGTGGATAGAGCGTCAGCCTGCGGACTCAAGGGTCCCAGGTTCGATTCCGGTCAAGGGCATGTACCTTGGTTGTGGGCACATCCCCAGCAGGGGGTGTGCAGGAGGCAGCTGATTGATGTTTCTCTCTATTGATGTTTCTAACTCTCTATCCCTCTCCCTTCCTCTCTGTAAAAAAAATCAATAAAATATATTTAAAAACCAAAAAAAACCCCAATTGACTAGGATTTGAAAGTTACCTTCCCAGAGCTGATTAGTTAGCAGAGTGAGTGTGGAGAAAGAATGGAAGAGGATTGTACTCAGGAATAACCACAGTTCTGGGGCAGTGGTTGGCAGTGGGAAGTGGGGGGATGTTAAGAGGAAAAAGGTAAGAAAGGGCAAAGTACAGCCACAAGGAGGTAAGTGGTCAATATCATCAAATGTCACAGAGAAATCAAAGAGAGTAAGTACTGAGAAAAAGCTGTAAGATTTACAAACTAAGATCCTGGTGAAGTGGAGACAAAAATATAGTTAACACATTAAGCGCCCTGTCAGTCACTAGTGACTGACATACTTTCCGTCCAGAAGACAAAACAGGCTGGGCACTTAACATGTTAAGTATTGAGTAAATGAGGATAAAGCATACATTTGAAAATTTGAGTGCCTATGGAAAAGAGAGGATAGAAACTCAAGGGCATACATTAAGTTATAGGGCTATGACACAGATTTTACAATCACAGCAAGTTTTGAAAAATAAAAGTGCTAAATGTTACACTTCTATTACTTACCTGGCAAAGATGAATTCATACAACTCCAAATTTCAACCTAAAATTGTAATCACCAAAAGGCTTTTATGTAGATAACCAGTTCCTAAATACAAAACTTAATTTCTACAGAAATTATGTACAGTTGTTTTGATTAGATTTGTGTCTATAACAGTCAATGTTCTAGTACTATATGAGTATCAACCAGCTATATTTATGGGGGGAAAATCAAACACATGCAAAATATTGCTTGTTCTTTTCCCATATTCCCATCTAAGAGCACTGAAGATTAGTCTGGTTACTCGAGCTGCTTACTGGAATCGCTGTTTCTAAGTACAAAGACAAAAGTATAGAGTAACTAAAGGAAAATGAATCACTCAGAATTGTGTGATCTCCATCTCCCCACCTCACATAACCCAAGCTGCTGTATCGTATCTAAAGAGACTCACTCATAGCAAGCTCAGATTTTTTTAGCTTGGTTTATGAGCAACTCAAACACTGAGGATGATGACCCAAACATTAGAGACATTTTAAGTTACATGATTCAGACAGGCAAGCAATACATCTACTGTATACCAGAAAATGGGAAGACAGGAATAATGAAAAATCATACATTTTCCCTTATCACAAATACAACTTTTCAAAGTCAAAGTAAATATAAAATTTGGTTAATATAGTTTTCATAAAATTGTCAAAATATAGTAAGTACAATTCCAAATTCCAGATAAACTATTATAATGAAATTTAAAGACTACATTTGTATTTAATATTACTTTTTCCTATGTCAGAGAACAATACAAATGAAAGATATTTTATCTAGCAATTTATGTGAAGATCTTTTTAAAGTACCTAGATAAATCTAACATTTTACTTTGACCACAAACCTCCTTCACATTGAAAATTTTGCTAAATCTAAAGGGAACTCCTTAGATGACTTCATTTAGACAAAACCTTCCATAGTTAAGTTAAACAAGACCTACCATTGTTTCGGGGCAATAATCTGGGGCTCGCTGCAACAGATGTTTTAGTCGAGATTCACTTTTTGAGGAGAATATCTATTTGACAAAAGAAAAAAGTTTTTGTGGCATTTTTTCATAAGAAATAAAAAGAGGTAAAATGTATTATCTTCTGAATTTATCAGTTGTCTAGAATATCTTCCTCTTATAAATGGAAAACCTTTGAAAGGATCTACATTAAAATGACATTTTTAAAAAGGTTGGTTAATTTGGCAAATAATCAAGAAAATGCAAATATAGCAAGTCTAGACCCTATTTCCTAATGACCAAAAATAGAGAAATTCAGGCTACCAAACTGTAGCCTGGGAGAAAAAAAAAAAAGAGAGAGCGAGAAGAAAAGAACCTGAGTAAATTTATCTTAAACTGTTCTACAAAACTGCTTAAGTCAACGAACCACAATAAAAAATACACTACGTTATACCTTGATATTGGTGAAGAATTTGTGAATAGCATTATGGCATAAACTTCTCTGCAAAGTGCCATAAAATAGAAACAAAACTGTTTTTTAATATAGATGCTGAGGAGCTGACAGTTCACTCACAAGGCTACCTGGCTCACTTCCAAACAGAACTTTAGTTAATGAAATTAACTATTTGATGTCTAAGTAGATTATAAATCTTCATGTATATCAGACAGACCTTCATGGTTAGTTAAAGCTATAAAATCCATAAATGCTAAGGACAGTGAAAAAAGATTTATCTACAGTTAGTTTTAGTAGCCTTTTCCTTCCAAACTACCAACAATCTATCTATCATCCATCTATCTATCTATCTATCTATCTATCTATCTATCTATCTATCTAACTATCTATCATCTATCTATCTAGCCTGACTCTTCAGGTGTCAGGCCAGGGTGAGGGGGGTCGGGAGGAGTCAAGTGGCAGGTCGCAGAGCCCAAATGACATTTATGTGCAAACTGGGAACATATTCATCTGTATGCTTTCCTGTTTTTCTGGCTACTTTAGACCGCGTACCTGGTGCCCACAAAGCAACACTCGGCTTCTCCCAAGTGGGACACAGGTCCTGCTACCACCCCGAGCAACAGCCCATCAAATTGCAGCTGATGCTGCCGAGATCCCATGGTGCAAAATGGGGCCCACAGCCGAGCCCAGCCGGGAAACAGTGGCTGTGGGCCGGGTAATGATGTCACATAGCAACACCTGGCTTCCTCTCCCTAGCAACTAGCCTCCTTGGAGTTTCTTCAGCCCAGGAACCTGACTTGCTTTATAGCCAGGTGCAAACATTTTACAGTTTAACCAAATGTTTGTGAAGCATTTTCATGTGCCTCATCTCATTTGATCCTCACAGAAGTCCTGGAGTAGGTAGATAGGAGGGAGACTCAGTAGAATCCTATTTTCTTTTCC